TTTTTTTTTTTTTTTTTTTTTGCAGACCACCCCCTCCCCCAAGAGTCAAAGTGTAATTCCAACTCCAATTAAATGCAAGAGTAGGCGTTTCTTTTTCCTAAACAGAACCTATGGGCATTTGTACACATGGCTGCGCTGCAGCGCCAGGTGCTTCTGAAAGTGCCTGACTCTGCGACACATGCGGTTGTGCAAGTGGCAAAATGTGCGTCAGCGCTACGGTGGCCATCACAGAGGACATCCCCATTTTCTGCTCCTCTGTCCTCTATCAATACGAAACCCTATGCCTTTATGTCCTCTAGATCTCTCTTCAAGACAGAGAACGTATTTTTGTCTTCGAGAGAAAAACAGAGGGCATAAAGGCGTCCAGTTTCGTATCACCAGAGGACACCCGGACTGTCCTCTCCAGTGGCCACCTACCAGGGAGGGTTTAAAACGTGCATTTGCCTTCCCGATGTGCCGTAATTCGTGTCATGTCATGGGACGAAACCTCCCGGGATCAATTCAAATGGAGTTGGAGACCCTGCGGATGTCTCTCTTGGGACAAAAGCGAACACGACAGGGACAGGAGCAGAGTGGCCATCGGAGACGACAGTCTGGTTTTCGGCTCCTCCATTGATAGGAAACCGGAGGCATTTTTGTCTTCGACGAGAAAAACGGTGGACATCAAGGCATCCAGTTTAGTGTCGATAAAGGACAAAGGGCCGCCGGACTGTCCTCGCCGACCGCCAACCTGCTTGGTGCTGAGAAAGCGGCAGCGTGCTTTCGAATTAAAACACATAAGAGACATTTCGGTTCAAAAGCACCCCACTGCCATTTCCTGCATGCGTCTCACAGCTTGCACCCCGCGCACCGAGGAACCGCATTTGCTCCAACCCGCCCGGACCCCCAGAGCGTTGCGGGACAAAAAGGCACGTGTATAAGCGCCCCACGTGAAACAAAGCGCAATTTCCAGGCCTGCGTTGCACAAACCCCTGCACCGGCTCGGGGGCCCTTGCAGGTGTCTCGCCTGTGGCCCCGCCCCCACCCCACGGGTGTTTCTGACAGGACCCCCACAACATGGCGGCCGCCGGCTCCCTGAGGGAGCGCCCCGGGCCCCGCGCTCACCTCCACGCTCTGCTCGTCCATGACGGCGGCCCTGCGGGGAGGAGAAGGGAGGGAGGAAGAGCGAGTGAGATGGGGCAGGCGCGCGCTGCTCAACGGCCCGGCTCCCTCCACAGCCCGGCCATGTCCGCGCGGCCCCGCCCCCTCGCAGCGCGC